ACAATAAAAAAGAAATTAAATATCTATCTAAAGTCACAAGGAATTTTATGAATGATAATATATTGATGGGCATAGAGTAAATTTTCTGTCCTATATAGCTAGTTTAAAAGTGAACATTTACAAACTTTCGAATTTTCAAATATCAAGGAACGCTTCTTTTTCAAAGAGATGGATATTCTAATGTCTAAAGAGCTGCAACTTTGTATTTTAATTCTGCGGCAAGAATTTCAGCATTTAAACTGACCAGTTTAAAAACTTTTTTCTCTGTGCCGATCCATATAATATCATTCATAAGATTCGTTTTGATTTCATACTATTCTTCTCAATGACAACTGACACAGAATACATGTCATAAAAGATATCATAAATTGGTCAAAATGAGACTTAAGTGTACAACATTCATCTAATTTCGAACAATATTATAAATATATGATATCTTACATAAGTATATTTTAAAATTGGTTCATCAGTTGTTTCAAAATTATATACTTCAACAGTACCATCTTCACGTGCAACAATCATATCTGGTACACCATCAGCCAATATATCATAAAAATCAATAGCACTTATACCCGATAAATGTTTTGGATTAGCTATTTCCCATTTAGTACTTGTTGAAATACTATTGTAAAAATAAATAATATCAAACTAATGGAAAAATAAACTTATAAAAAAAAAATAAAGCAAACCTGCCAATTTCAAGTTGACCAAGACGACCATCAGATGTACCATAAACAATTTCACTTTTTGTTGGACCTAGAAACTAATAATCTTATTCTATTCTATTCTATATTATATTATATTTTTACCTCCAGTCTTATTCGAAAGAATTAATGTTGTTGGAATACCAGGAATTTCAGCTTCATATAATACTGATGATTTCTGAAAGAAAGAATAATTTTATTGTTTTTTTGTTTTTATTTTAATTTACATTTAATGGTCTTAATAATCGATCTTGACAAGCAATAACTGGCATAGCTTGAATTGGCAACGGAAGAATAACAATATCATTCATTTTTGCTGCAAATGTTAATGTATCTGTTTCGTTTGATTCAACATAATGTGTATATGTTGTATCCGTACAAGTATATAAACTTGAACCAAGTATAGCCCTTTTCATTTTTTAATAATTAGAAAAAAAGAAAATCAAAAAAACTTATAGTTTTTAATAACTTACATGCATCGAATTGGATCACTAACATTTGTATCAAATGTATAAAATTGTTTACCTTTCTTTGAATAACCTCGTACTTCTGTTTCTGCTGCAACAAATATTCGATCAGGTGTTTCACCTAATCGACCACCGAGTTCAACTCGAGTAATACGTCTACCAGGAGTAGTTTTGAAAATAGACTAAAAAACTAAAATCTAGAATAAATATTTAAATATATGAATGAAAACTTACATTTATATCTTTTTTTCGAACAGAAAATAATTGAACTATTCCATTACTTTCACCTAATGCAATCTATTAATAAAATTAAATATAAATTTGTATTAACGAAAAAGAAAACATTAAATATATATATATATACTTTTTGTGTCTCTTTTTTCGCACTATCACGAGGTAATAATCGCATACATTTAGATGTTACTGATGATGTTGTCTTCAATTTAAAAAAATAGATTTAGATAGAAAAATTTTTAATGTAATACTTTAAAGTAATCGACGCGATTTAATTGTAATTCGAGCATTTTACAACTTGAGATAATCTGGTTTTTTTTTTTTTTGTTTAATCTGTTTTCTTTGTCTTTCTGTAGGAGAAAAATGAACCATAACTCGAACGATTGTTTCGGTGAGAACCTTCATTCTTCTGTCTTGGAATCTTTTATCGAACTGAATATGTACGTCATCTATCGTTCATAAACAAATATTTCACTGCAGTTATAATTTAATTTACAATAAATATTCATATTTAATTAAATCGAACAAACTATATAAAAGCTTTCATTAATTTCTAATTGTTTATTTTACTGAAATTAACTATTTTTTTTATTGTTTCGTGAAAAAGAAAAGCAAATCTTATTTGAATTCAATCTAAGCTAACCAAGTTGAGAAGTGGAGAACATTATATCAAATTAAATGGATATATAGTATTACTAGATGAAGACCATTATTGATGATCACAATGGTAACTATCCTTTCGTCGTAAAATTGATTCTTTCAGTACGAAATATATTATGATAAATTCCTTGATGAAGTTTTCAATAGATAATCTCAATTGTTTATAATGCAGGGGCAACAGCAAACATTAAATTACATATGACTAATTCCGTAAAATGAACTAATTGAGATATGAGTTTTTAACAAAAAAGTTGCATGTTATCTCTCAGAAATATTTTATTTATTTGAGAAATATTCTTTCAGAGAAAGCACTATAGATTTTCAGAAAACAAAGTATCTCTCCATATAATTGTTTATTATTATGTACGAAGACTGTTATCGAACAAATTGGCATTATTTAATGATACTAATACCTGCACGTTGTAAATATATTGATATCTTGATAATTAATGCAAAGATTATAAATACAATATTGATAATATAACATGTATTCAATATGTTTATAATTGACATTAATGTAAAAATAATCTTGACAAGTTTGACAATAAATTTGCTGAGATTTTCTTGTGCTAATACATTCCTTTGCCTAAATTAGTTGATGATAACAACAAAGTTTTGAATACGTTTGCCCGTTCATTTATTTTGAAAAAGTTGATTAATGATTTTTCTCGTTTCCATATACATTTCGTATATGGAAAATCACGAAAAGTTGAAACACAACTTCAAAGACTATTCTAATGATGTATTCAATTTCCTGAAAGAATACGTTGCTTAGTATTGTGTAGCTTCAAGCCTAGGAAATATCAGAATACAACATTCAAGTGTAGAGTTGCCATTTCATAAAATCTGAAAAGTGAAAAGTTCATCTAACACATGTAGGAAAAAGTGAGAACCTATATTGTTACTGATTTGTAGCATTTCTAAGAGCTTTAATCATTTTTTTTTCTGTCTATGTCATTTCTTTATTTTTGCAAAATTTCAAAACATAGAAGATAAAATGCAAAAAAGAAAGCAAGTTTTATCCAACATATTGTATTTGAATGTATAGTTATTATTACAACTAATTACTGTCAACAACGCTTCTTGTCATGAAGTATTTTGACGAATTTGTCATTCAGAAGCTATTGCATTTACTGAGACATTTGATTACGAAAATTGTTAAGTAAATTTTTCATTTTCGAAAAAAACACTTTCCACATAACGATTGCTGATTGAAATCCAATATAAGAATAAATGAGTTCCTTCATATTTTGATGTTGGTGTTGCATTGACAGTTAATAACATTGCTCATAATTGATCTTATCCATTCATTTTTGTTTGTTCTTCCTCGTCAGCCTGACTTTGTCACTTTGCCATTGTCGATGAATTGTGAATTTCTATTTCTGCTTCATTGGAAAGAAAAAATTGAATCTGATTATGTAATGGTACTTCTTTCTTTTTTAGTAGCTTCAAAAATAGAACCCATCGGGCCCAAATTTTGGATCGAAATTCGGTTAACGGAAAATTTTCAGATTCAAATCCGACGGACCTTCATCGAAAGTCAATTTTAATTCGATCAACTCATTGAACAGATTATCTTCATCAAAACCTTTGATTTTTGTAACTTCAATATGTTTTTGAATCTGATTCCTAGTAAGATTTCAATCTCATAATTAAAATGTCCAACTGTCTTTAGAAGGGCAACATTTTGAAAGAAATATTTGCTGATATACTCTAAATGTATGAAGATGAATTAAATAAACAAAGCCTGTAGTTTAGCAACAATGTTAGATGGGATTCAACTCAACAGATGTTGACAGTGAATACCAAAAATGGTTTTTATGACTTTTGTGGTGTACTGTTGAGATGCATAAGAATGACTATGTTTAATTCCATGGCATAGAAGAGGGTCTTCTACATTCGCTATTTCTTCACGCTTCTTGCTTGGTTTCATCTTTAATGTTATCTACTGACGATTTACAACGAAAGAATTTCATATTATTGATGTATGCTTTCAATTTTGTATGCCCATCAAAAAGCATTTTTGCCACCATAGTGGATTGAAAACTGTTGCTCAGTGCAGAGAACGCATACAACGTAAGTTGCATCCGGTTCATACTCTAGTAAAAATGATTCTGACTTTGAATTATGTAATCATTGTGGATTAGAGATACCGGTTCTCTTCTTTCTTTTTTTTAAAAGTAACTATTATGGCTTCTAAGGCTTTATTTTCACCTGATTGTAATATTAATATTGCTTTTATTAAATTTTTAGACTGAGTTTATTTTGTATGAATAAAGCACGTAAAACAAGTGAATTACAACACAGTTAACTATCAGTTGAAAGAAGAATGCTACTTTTACTTCATAAATAGAAATTGAGAGCAGCGCTTCTCTTCAATAGGAACATTTTTAATGTTATTTAACTGAGTTAATAGATCGATCAGTCAGAATAATGATATATTGCACACGCCAATGATCATGATTTATTGAATAATAATAGGTTTTCTTCGGTGCCGAATTTTCAATTAAGAGAACAAAAGTTTTCTATATGAAAAAGCCGCACAGCGAAAAAAGACGAATAGAGATGAGAACCCTGTCCCGATGCCATCTCTCGTTGAACTGAAGCATAATTTATCAATTGCTTTAATCATCCAATCGTCTTTCTTTATTCTCTAAGAAAGGAGGAAAGGAAAAAGTTGAGGGGTTAATGATGACGTAGTAGAATGAATAAGAAAAAAAGAATTGCTCCATCGATCATTTGATTTTTCGTCAGAATACAGGTCGTTCTTTGTAGGTTGCCATATTTTCTAGGCCCTTTTTTTTCCATGTTCTAATTCTTTTTTTTACGACTCATTCTTAATCTTTGATTAAATCAAATCGGCACAAGAAACAAAACACAAGTTTTTTTTTTGAGAAAGATTAATATCATTTGTTTTTTTGTAGATTTCGAAGATATGTCATCTAGCAATGGCGCTTCACATTCAACTCAAAGGTAGGTTAATTTTTCTAAATTCATACTCATCTTATTATATTCATAATTCATTATAGAGAAGTCAAATGTGGTGGTATTGCTGGTCTTAGACCAGTTAATACAGAAGATTTAAAAATTTGGGACATGGTAAGAACGATTGTATAATTCAAATTGATAAAAAAAAATACATTATATATGTAGTATAAACAACATTTGGAAAAGAAAATACGAAATCAATTTCATGTACCAACTAGTCATACACTCAAACCAGTTCAAGTTGCAACACAAATTGTAGCTGGACAAAATTACTTTTTCAAGGTATTTGAATTTTTTTTCTCTTGTTTTTATATATCATGAATTAAATTTAGGTTGAATTACCTGAAAAAAAATACGCAACAGCTCGTGTTTATCATGTTCCATGGCAACAAGATACCCATGGTAAAGAAGAACAAGTAGCTGTACATGCTAAACTACTTGATAGTCCCAATCAAGATGTTGGTCATTTTTAAATTAACATATTTTTTGTTTTTGGCTTATCGTTATGTATTTGATTGTTAACTATTCGATACTTTATTCGCTGAAAAATATTTAGGTAGATTATACACAATTAGAAAAGAAAAAAAAACAATATTTGTAGTCAAAAATTCTATATCTTGATTATATATATATACAATATCTACTATCACAGTTTTATATTATTCTTTAACGTGTGAGTTATATAAAATTATTAATCAATAAAAATCTTGAAAAAAAATAATCCAGTTGTATAACTGATGAAAATATATAAAAAAGAAAAAGAAAAAGTAATCGAATCGCTCTATTGACTGGTAGTTTGTTGATTAAAAGTTATATTTTACATTTTACAAAGTTATTTAACACTCACTGATTTTTCTTTTACTATATTTTCTCTTTAATATAGAAAGATTTTAAGTATATTAATAACAGTAATATGGAATGAAACTAAATTATAATAGATATATATAACTCAAACGGATCATACAAGACAAGGAGTTTAAGTTTATGTAACAATATGCGATTAACTTTTCCGAGAAATTAAAAAAAAATTATTCCTGCAATTGTCAATAATTCTTATACATACTTCAAAACTTTCGCTGTTTAAACCGTTGAAGACGAGATTACTTTTAAGAAACCGAAGCAAATTTTCGAAACTCTAAGGCGATATACTTATTCACATCAATATCAATAAATGCATAGAAGTATTTTGGAGTATAACTATCTTGAGGGTATCGATGAATGTAGCCCTTCCCTTCAGTCGTACTTAAACTCTAACAATACGGATGACAGTGTAACAGATTGATGGTCTGCGTTTTGCTATCACGCCTCATAACAGCGTTACAAGAAGTAGGAGCAAATTTATTAAGAATTGATTACAAACTAGATGCATATATACGTCTGCCGTTCTCAAGAGGTTAGCGATTCAATCGAATGAACTCACATAGTTAAGGGCGAATAACATGAAACTAAAAAATCAATATCATATAAGAAGGTGCAGTGTTGACTTTAACACTGAAATACTAACGATGAGTCATCGACAAAGAGTTCACTGGAGCACTGATTACACTAGAATCAGTTTTCACTGAAGTACTCTCAACTACATTCACTGCTATATTGAGACACCGATTCTATCAAAATATCACTTTTTTGTCCAGCAGTGTCTTTCAATGCTTCAGTGGATACTAATGTCGATTGTGGGCGTGCACTAACTATACTGAGTCAATGATATCGGTACCCACTAAACTAAAACTGAGCATCCCTACTATCACAATAACTTAAGAAATAAACAAAATTGTGTTTTATTCTTCTTCTTCTTGTTTTGTATGTCTTGTTTCTTTAGTCTTATTGCAACTAATAGTTATAAATCAGATTTAAAGTTAATATCAATATAATATACATACAAATATTTAATTTAGGTTCAGTTTTGAAGACATTGAATTTTCACATTGAATGCATTTATTGAGAAACTTTGAAGGTTAATATGCTTGATTAGTAATGGATGAAATGTTATATTTTGTCACCAATTTAGCCATTTCATTAACTATGCATGGCAAGAGAAAACTTTTTACCATCGACATTGAGTATTATTAAATTGAGCGATGTAGTCATTGTCTGAATCAAATTATATACAGAGATAATTGAATTGCATAAAATTATCGAGGAGAAATGACCTCGATCATTCTCATTGAACAAAAATCCTATTCGATCATTTTTTCCAAATTTTGTTAGATTAAGTAGTGGAAAAATAGTCTTATTGGAGATGTCATTATTTTGTAAAAATAATTCCTATGAAATTTCTTTTAAGATATTTCAAAAAAAAAACACTTTGTTCTTGTGGAATGTTCTATTGGTATTGACTTGCGAAATTATTCCTATCATGATTATATATAAAGATATTTGTTCCGTTTCTGTTTTTACGAATGTTATGGGATTGTAATTATAGATACTATTGATAATGTTTTATAAGAGTTCTCTAATATTTTTTTAGAAATAATTTTCATACAATACCAGTTGTTCAAATGATAGTTGCTGATGTTTTTGATAGAAAAGGAAGGCATACGATTTTTTTTTCATAGAATCTTATATCTTAGAGAGGATATAAGTGTATCGTGCATGTATAATAGTAATTGTAATGTTTCATTCCCAAAGGATAAACATAGAATAAACAAATACATTATATGTAATTCTACTATCAATTAATGGCTTCAATTACTCAATAACGATGTGTAAACTTGACCTGACATATTTATTTATGTATTTATTTGTTTGCCTCTCTGTTTTTCTTTCGCACTCTTTGTCTCTTACTCTTTTGCATACACAAGATGAAATGACAAAAAGAAAAAAAAGAAAACGGACGGAATATCGAACACAAACAATTTTTTGAATTTTTGTAGTTTTTTTTTTTTTGTTTTTGTGTTTCTTTTAAACAGTAGTCACAGCTTGTTCCATCATATTAATACCAATTAAACGTTGACTATTTTCATCATCATCATCATCTAAATATGTTTGAGTTGATTTTTTTCTCAATGATAGATTATCTTGTTGTTGTTGTTGTCGTCGAATAGGTTTTTGTCGTTGTTGTTCTATCTTTAGTTCGTTTGGCATTTCTATTTCTTGTTCTCGTCGTTTCATTTTAATTAGTAAAAAAATGAGTATAGTAGCAACACATAATAGTATAATACAAAGAATAAAAATAGTTATAATTATAATAAGATTTTGATGTAAAAATGATAACGAAGATGATACTGATGATAATGGTGGTAATGAAAATCTGGAACGTGTTGGAATCATAAGAAAACAATTCGATGAAAGTTCATCATCATTTGATAATGGTTGACAATGAACTTGACCATCACATAGTAGTGATCGATGAATACAAAATGAATTTTTTATTGTACTATTAGAATGTTTTTTACAGTCAAAATATTCATTAGATAATAAACACTGATTATCAGTTATATTCGATTTAACTTGTACAACTGTCCATAATAATTGAAAACCACGTAATGGTTCTTTTGTTTGTCGATTTAATGATATAAATTGTATTGTAAACCAATGTGAATCAGTTAGAAAATAATATTTTTTTTCTTCTTGTCCACAAAATTCATCAATACGTTTTTCACTATAAATTCTTAAAACAGATGATTGACATCCTTGTGGTGGATCTTTTGTTTTTGAACCTTCCATTTCAAGCATATTTAATTCTAAATTAAATTGAAATCCATGTTTTGTTACATATGACCATTCACAGATAATATTTTCTGGATAACCATTACTTGATAAATTACCTGATGGTTCCTCTGTTTCATTAATATAAATCATTGAATCAAATGGACTTCGACAAGATGATGAAAATAATATATTTGATTTATTTAAAAAAAGATAACGTCCATCAAATCCTAAACCAGCTTCGGAATCATCATTTGAACGAAAATGTACACGTAATTGTCGTGTTGAACGAATAGTTAAATAAGGGGATGGAAAATTTCGATAACCACAATAAATAAAGGGATGTAAATAAAATTTTGATGATGAATAAAGACTATATGTATATGTTAAATTATCTGATGGACATTCAATATAATTATCATCAACAATATTAAAATAATCATACCATATAAGTAAACGTGAATCTTCATTTAAAGGATAAAAATTAAATGTACAATTGGAATTTGAAAAATAATCATTTTCAGATGAACGCGGTGGTTCGAATTTGCCTAAAAATAGAAGCAATCATTCTATTAACTCATAATCTTCTAAAAAAAATATAATTCGAAAACTACATATTCTTAATTAATGTTTACTAGAAAGCTTTATAAGAAAAAAAAAAAAAGATGAGATCTTACCAGAAACTGCACGTGATTCATAATAAGAAAGATTACAAATAGTGGGGTTTAATGCATCATATTCATCGGCAGTTACTTGATGATAACTTTTAACAAATTTATATCTTGCTTGAAATTTTCCACCACTGATTAATGATGGTAAAACATTATTTGCTAAACGATCATTTGGAATAAGAGATATTTTAAGTAAAGCATTTTTTGAAACAAAACGTCCTTCAGGTTTAAAATGACCACAAAATGAAAGATTTGCTTTGAAATCAAGATCTTGTCGATAATAATTACTAAATATTAAAGATTTTTCTGTTATCATTGACATTGAACTACTTGATGTATATGATGGACGTGTACGTAAATGATAATCATATATTCTACTTGCATTATAAATAACTAATGATGCTAATTGACAATCAATATCAAATTGATCAAATTCAATTTCAACATTTTCTAATGTATAACGATCATCAAGACCTAATAAATATGTTGTACATGATGTTTGTGGTTTATATGGATATGGCCAATTTGGTGATTGAAGTTTACCTTAAAAATAAATAATTCTAAATTAATATATTTAAATTAAAAATAAATTCTTTTCTTATACCATATCCTTGACCAAATGATTTTATAGTTTGATCACATTCTGTACCAAATAAATATTGATTTGATTTATTTTTTGTTATAAAATCAAGTTTACTTAATGATGATAAAAATTCATATTCAGCAAAAAAACCTTTTCTCCATGATGGTCGTCCTACATCATTTATTTGTATTTGTTCATCATCAGTTAAATCAGCATAATGTGTTGAAATAAAATAAAGTAATAAATGATAACTTGTCGAATAAACATCAAGTGGTAATGTATATGTACCACATAAATCTGTAATATGATATTGATCTCTTTCTTCAGGTGAATATTGATAATCAAGATTATGGATATGACGAAAACCAGATAAAAATCGACGAAGTTCTGGTGGATCTAATGTTTTATCATATATTTTTATTAAATCAATAGCACAATGTTGAGTATTAGGAGTTTTAAAAAGTACGAAATCACGAAAACGAATGTGAATACGTTCACCAGGTAAACCAATAAATGAATAATTACAAAATTGCCACTAAAAATAAAGATGTTTTTAACTACATATATATAT